TCGGCGGCTGCGCTCGTCCGCTTGTCTGTAAAAGAAAAGCACAAGCTCGAGTGTGTTCTCATTCACCTTCCTCCTCAGCAAGCTTTTTTTATTTTGTAAAAACCTACCCTAGCTCCAGTTAAGTGTTTATCTTCAGCACCTAGGCCAGCAATACATTTGTCAGGGAAAACTAAGCCAGCATTAGCTCACTAAAGCTCACGGTATATACACTGATTGAAATGCAAAATATAAACATGTTCCTAGAGAAATTGCTGCATCGTAAAGCACATACATAAAATCAAGAAAAGCATTCCTCCTATTTCAAATACATAAAACTAGTTTCACTTTTTAGCTATATATTGACAAAGTACTTTTAGAATTAAGTTATAAATAGGATGTACTTGCATTTCTGGGTATCTTACACAACAGTCTGACATTAATTCATAGAATTATGGAACGGTTTGGGTTGGAAAGGACCTTAAGCTCATCCAGTCCCACCCCCTGCCATGGGCAGAGACACCTTCCACTAGACCAGGTTGCTCCAAGCCTCATCCAGCCTGGCCTTGGGCACTTCCAGGGATGGGGCATCCACAGCTTCTCTGAGCAACCTGTCCCAATGGTTCCAGCAAAATATAGGTTTGACCTGCTCCATTCTCTTACAGCTGCCTACTCTGCCCATTGTCTTAAGACAACCAGTGGTTGAGGGCTCTGACTGACCTCGCTGTAGCCTCCCACATGCAGATGGACTCAGTGCCAGCCTAGGGTGCTTCAAAAGCAAGAAACGATCAGGACAAACTGCCACTGGAGTCAGACCACAGCATGCTCTTCTGTACGAAGAATTATTTCTACCTAGAAGCGTTAAGTTTCCCTCCCCACGGACTGATTTTTGTGCATGTCTAAGTTCTGCCTGTAAGGCTCCATCACCCCAGGAAAAATTGCAGAGGAAGCACTAGAACTTCAGCTCCTTGTTGCATTTCACCTGCACATTCAGTACAAGGCGAACAGCAGGCTGAGAGGATGTGCAGGAGGGCTGTTTGCCAAAAAGGCCTCAATCAGCAAAGATACAGGTATCTAGAAGACCATCCTGCTTGCTACCACTTCACAGGTTAATCTGGGAGCCTTGCCACCGGTGGAATGTTAGCATGGATACCCTCACTCTCTGCAGCACACACGTAACTACTTGGTCCAAGAAGTGTGGCACACTGCAACTCAGCAGGTCCAGAGTAAACCAGGGGGATTAGTCCACAACTGACATCAAGCTCACTGCTTTTAAGAGAGAGATGACTGTATCCCATGGTCCTTCTGTGGTACATTGTCTCAAGACCCAGAGCAGCAGGAGGGACATCACCATGAGCAGCCTGTACAGCCTTCTAGAGTTTAAAGGAGGCTTAAATCAGAGTATCCCCATGAAGACACTCAGACTAGACAGTTCTCTCACATTCATGAATCCATCCTAACAGTCAGACAACAACAGGAAATCCCCACAGAGAAGTGGGCTGATCATACCTCCTGGGCTGTAGTCCTTTTTTAAATCTTCTTTTTTCTGACGGGGAAGGATGAATCTGTAGTCTATACTGTCATGGACCCAGCCTTTCTCAATGAACAAGCCAGGAACCTCATCTGAAAACAGCCAATACCTGTAGGAAACACACATGTTAACAGGTACCAGTCTCCTCTTCTGGCTAGTTACACACATCCACCTTTATCTGCACAGAGGGGAGAAGCATCCGTGTGCTTGACTCAATAAAAACTGAATGCATGCGTATCTATTAGCACAGTTGAGAAACATGAAAACCTTTTATTAGAATCCATTCTAAGAGCATTCCTGTGCAATAACCATGAAAAGACCCAGAGATGATGTTAATTAGGTTCTTGAGCACTGCTGCAAGCACTTGAAGCTCCACTGGCAAGTGGATCCTGAACGCCACAGGTAGGCCTCAAAAACCAACGAAGGCCATTGCGCTCTATATACACAAAACCCTCACTTCTGCTTTCCTCCACGCAGGGAGTTCTCTCAACACCCTCTGCATCAATCACCTCCTGGGACTTCTCTCCAAGGGGAGAGCTGGCAGCTCAGGATCGTTTCCTTTCCTACCTGTTATGATTACGATCCGTGCCAACTGGGGTCCTGCGCATCACCAGTTTCGCTCTGGCAATTCCCTCCTGGAAAGTTTTCTCAGCTGCAGCTTTATGCTTCCGGATTCTTTCTTCCTCTGCTTCTTTCTCCATCCTCACTGTTGGAGTTAACACAGAGAAGTATTAGCTTTCTTTTGTTGTATCCAGACATCAATATTCTCTCTTATTTTAGTACATCATGAGGGTTAAAAAAAATAAAAAGTATTGGTGACTTTAGTTAATATTCTTTCAAGCACAGCCATCTACCCCTCATCTTACTTTCCACCCACCACTCTAGAGAACAGCTCAAGAATTATTAAGAAGTCAAGGCATAAAGATGAACTGGACTGAGGAAATCTGGACAAAAACTGTCTGGAGAAATTAGTCTTTATTATATTTCTCGTTCTAGATCCACAAAGTGGCACTTGTTGCTGTGCAAGCCCATATAACAACAGAGCCAAAGATCTTTAACTACAGCACAATGACAGGGACTTCTGCCCTGGCCAGCTCAAGTGTTGGGAGCGTTCTGGCTGTGATACCACAGAGGTCAGCGTGGCCAACAGCCGCCTGCATTTCCATTGCAGCCACTACGGGAAACGCTCTCCCCACAACCTTACCTACAAAAAACCCAGACCTAGCAGAATTGAAGCCTCTGCCAGGCACAACTGTCTCACAACAGTGACCAAGTCACATCTCTTAACACCTTATGCTTTCCCATACATGCTATGATGTGGAAGAGCATCACACAGATTCAGAGTGGCAGGGGTTGGAAGGGACCTCTAGAGATCATCTAGTCCAACCCCCCTGCCAGAGCAGGATCCCCCAGAGCAGATCACACAGGAACCAGTCCAGGGGCTTTGGAAAATCTCCAGGGAAGGAGACTCCACCACCTCTCTGGGCAGCCTGTTCCATGCTCTGTTAGCATTAAGGTAGAAGCCTCAGGTTTCCCACTTCCACAATACAGAAGTATTGGAATTTCAGTAGCCCTCAATATCCCAGGCCCAAATCCTGCCATCACAGACTCCTTGGCAAGAGTCTTCTGGAACAAAACATGTCTAGGTAAGGAGCAAGAAGCCAGGCAGCATCTGCCAAGAGACAACGCATTAAGGTCAATGGGATTTACGCTTCCCATGATGGTTCAAGAGTCTCTCTACACTTCTGCCTGTCCCTGAAGACTTGGTGTGCTTTCACCAAGAATTGCCTGAACAGAACGTCAAACCGAGGCACAGCGGCTTCTCAGAGCCTGGTCTCCGTCTAACAAACATCTCACCCCTTCACAGCTTGCACAAAAGGGCAACATTCCTGTGTCCCGAGAGAACTGGAGGGGAAAAAAAAAAAAGGATGAAGAAAAAAGACTGATGTTTGCATCACAAAGGAGGGTTTGAAGCAGATGGAATGGGTGAGGTGGAGTGGAGCAGGTAAAGGTGAGCATATAAAGGTTGTGTGCTGGCTGCTGTCCCAGGGAGAAAGCTAACTTCCTGCTCAGACCTTTCCCCAGGTTACTACCCACCCCTCCTCATCCAGCCTTTTTTTGTTCCAGGATAGGTCTGCTAGATTCGTGAATATCTGATACATCTCTGAAGTCCCACCAACGTAATTAATCCTGACTGATTAAAAGAGAGGTGCTGAAAAACACACTCTTGCATTTTTTGCAACTTGATATGTATCAGCTTTGATATAATAATATACCAATATATAAATTTACAGTAATTGCAGCATGGGAGATTCCTCCTGTTCACCCGTACCTGCCAAGAACAAGCAGCTGCACAACCCATACGCCTGTAAATCCCAACTTCTCCCTAAATCTTATCACCTCTCCCTGTGTCAAAGTCCTGAAATTTTAGACGTAGCAACCACCACCTCTCACAGTGCCAAATGCCTCACGTCACCTGAATCTGAGCCCTGCAAACTGCATCAGCAGACCCGCACGGCTCAAGTACCGTTCTTACCTTCCAGCAGGAGACAGGTGATACAGTTCTCCCAGGATTTCTCTCCTTGACAGCTTCTGAAGACCTGCTGCCATCCCCTGACACTAGCACAAGGTACAACTCCCTCCTCCTCACCACGCTGCCCTCAAGAGCTAAGGCTCCAACCAAAACACGCCATACTGCCAGCAAACCCCTCAACACTTACAACAGGGGATATCGTGGGCACTCATGAGACAGGCAGCTTTTCTGTCCAACTGTAAAGACCAGTCGCAGCAGGTACCATCAAGTGCCAGAACAAGGAAGAGCCAAGGAAAGAACAGAAACTTAAACATACTCATATGCCAAAACTGTTCCATCAAAACGAGAACAAAAGACACTAAACTGAAAGGTTCCTCCCCATGTCTCATTTTCATTTGTGATGGCAGGCAAGTGTCTGTCAGTACCTTCCTCTCTGGCAGGCTTCATTAGCTGGATAAGCTTCCAGCTCTCCATTCTCCTCCAACAGACTGCCCAGGAGCTACTGCTTCATGGAGCGATAAGCAAAGAACAACTAAGTGCTGCAGTAACACGGAAATGGAAGTGACTTGACTTTTACTATCAAGAAAATACAGATATCAATCATGTTATCTCAACAGGAAGTTCTGCACTGACTTCTTTTGAAGTCAAAAAAGAACAAAAAATACATTTATGCTTTCTTACACTGGGTTCTTTTTTGAGCTGAGACTGGCTTGGTAGCACTGGCGGCAATCTTGATAGGTTTAACTTGAAAGGGCTTAGTGCTCCCAGCGCTACAGATGTTACCAGAGTGGTGACAAAGAAACCTCTGACTGTAAGATACAGATCTCAATATATGTAAAAGAGCAGTTGCTAACAAAACACCTACTGTGCGGTGCTTATATATATATATATGAATATTGAACCACTGCACAATAGGTCTTTTGTCAGCAACTGCTCTTTCACTTCCCCCAGAGATACTAACGTTATTAAAAGCAAATGCAGCTGAAGTGGTGTGAAACCAGTACGCTGAAAAAGCCCACAAACAGCCCATGTGATGGTAGGAGCACACTGATGCAGCTCTCGCTGTGGTTATCCTGAACTATTTTTCGCATACTGAAACCACACCAGCCTGCAAGTCTGAAGTCCTGAGCAGATTAGCTCCGAGCTGCTAACCTGGCAGCCCTAACTATTGCACCACCAACATTAACCAAGATCTTTGGTGCTTTGAGGGTACCTTTATGCCTGGTAGAAACTGCTTCACAGGTAAAAGAAGCCTGAAATGTTGGGGCTTTGTTATGTGGAAAGGAAGCAATATGAATTTAAACCTTAATCACAGAATGGTTTGGGTTGGAAGGGACCTTAAAGATCATCTAGTACCAACCCCCCTGCCATGGGCAGGGACACCTTCCACTAGACCAGGTTGCTCCAAGCCTCATCCAGCCTGGCCTTGGACACTTCCAGGGATGGGGCATCCACAGCTTCTCTGGGCAACCTGTCCCAGTGCCTCCCCACCTTCTCCGGGAGCAATTTCTTCCTGATACCTAATCTAAATCTACCCAATCTAAATTCTACCCTAATGGAAGGTTTAATCCTTCCTTCTCTGCCTGTGAGACCTAGTTTTCCTTGTGGAATCCAAAAGAATGAATTCAACTTTCCCAGCATGCAAGCGAAATGATTCTTATCTCCATCAGTATAATAATGCTTTTCTTCATATACAACTCATACAAACGATCAAGTGAGAACAAGAAGTATCCCAAGGAGGAGTGCCCAAACACTATTTCCTTTTGCAGTAAAATCTTACCATAAACTTGAATTTGTTGTAAAACAACTGGAACACTACAAGAACTGGGGCCAAGAGGCCATTCAGCTACAGCCCGTTAGGTATTTGGTACTTTGCTTTTCTGGAGAAGTAGCCCAGCACTCCAGATCTTCAGCAGTTCATTGATATTTCTGAGACTCACTGTTCTTAATAAATATGAAAGGTCTATTCACTTGCAATGTGAGGCATGGTTGTATCCAGTCTACTTCCCTAGGACCCTTAGGGGATTCCACATTGTTTACCTATCCTTGATCTCCTAAGACAGATTCCAGCTAAGGCAGTTAAGCCAGGATCTATGCCAGATGCTTGTCCCCCAGCTGTTTCAGAGGGGAAATAAGCCCCCAGATGAGCTCTGCTGTCCCCTTCCATCTGCCCAGTACCCACATTTACAACCAAAGAAATCCCTGAAGTGTCATTCCGAAGCATTTTGCTCTTTATATTACACAGAGGCATACAAAGTCTGCTATTCCAACTTGTGATTTAGAGAGCTGTGAGTGGACAGAATAATTCTGTAAAATGAGAAAGTGTAAGCTGAAATTCACTGCCCAAGTCCTGATGTGGAGCAGGACCGCCAGCATCACCCTGACGATGTCAGGGCAAGCCCAAGCCGTAGGAACCAGCTTTTAGGCAGGGAACGTCTCCTCTGTGCCTAAGAGTCAGAAGACGTTGGGCCAGACACAAGTATTTTTGCTTGTTTTCAGTCCCCGAACCAGATTTGCTGTTCTCCAACCTTCCTTGGCCGAACAGAATTAGAAAAGTACTGCACAAAAGATGCCCACAGTTAAAAAAACTGGCAGCAGTTATTCTTAAAATGCCAATGTTTGAGCTGCCATAGGAACCACGGCAGCAAAATTATACTTCTCCAGTGAGTAAATCCCTTAAAAGCAGGTGATGCTTTTGGAAACAGGCTGTCAATTTTGCCATTAACGTGTTCCCTCTACTCCACAACTCACAGACGCTCTAGTCTCCTGGTATTTTTCTTACCTCTCATTTGGATTTCTTGTTGCTCCCTCTCTTTCTTGGCTTGGATGGCAAGAAGGCGCCTGCTCTTCACAGCACTGATCATATCAGCTTCTATTTCTACCCGGTGCTCTATTTTCATCATCTCAGATTTTTTCTTCTCATTTCTTCCCATCATATTCTCATCTTTCCCGTTCTCCTTGTTCTTGGCCACCATTTCTTTTCGCTTCTGTTTCTCCGCCCTCTTCTTGTCGTTTTCTTCCTTCAGGATAGCCAGGCGCTCCTTCCACAGCTCAGCTGAGGTCTGCTGCTCGGCCTCCACATGGTCCTGCACCGAGTACGTCATTAGGATCCGGTGGCAGAGCGCTGCAAGTATCCGCAACTTCTCTTCCGGAGTCAACTCAAAGAACTCTGACGTCTCTAGTTTCTCCAAAAACTCATCCTGCACCTCATTGTCCTCAAAAGCTGCCAAATCCTTGCTTTCATCCACGTTATCCGAGACCTCGCTTTCCTCCTGCACGTCTGATTTGCGCAGGCAGAGGCGAACCAACTCCGAAGCAGAATGCAGAGTAAGCGGTATTTCCGAAAGCTTCATTCCCAGCTCGGCGTAATCTTCAGCAATCTCATCCTGCAGCAGGGTCTGCAAGAGAATGACCAGGACTCGGTTCAAATAAAGGAAGCCTCCCCTTTCTGCGCAAAGCGCTTCCATCAGGGAAACTGCCGTAATGGGATACTGAGCATCTGGCATCAATAACCCTGAGTAACAGCTGAGGAACTCCACCACCATGGCGACATCCCCAAAGAGCGTATTTGGAAGTCCTTCTGGAGTATCAACCAGTTTAAAAGTAGGCAAGGTCTTCCCTTTAAGATCTTGGTCCTCGTATCTTTTCTGTTTTTCCAGTTTCTCCTTCATCTCCTTCTCTTTCCGCTCCTTTGCTCTCTCCTTCAGTTTCTCTTTCAGCTTCTCCCTTTTCTTCTTCATGTACTCCTTTCGCTGCTCCTCCGTCATGCTGGCCCACTTCTTCCTGTGCTCCAGAAGCTCGTAGCGTTTCTGTACTAACCCTCGCAAATCCTCAGGGAGCCGGGCACGATCCTCGTTGGAGAGTAACCTGGCAGTTTTGGAGATGATGCAGGAAAGAGCACTCTTCTTGTCTTCCCGGTCTTTGTTTTCTTTGTAATAGGCAATGAGATGGAGTGCTGCAGGAGGCAGGTGTTTCTGGGGTTTGCTGGAAGACCGAGGGGTGCCTCCAGAATTCCTGGGAGCCCTGGACACCTTAGTGGTACCTTTAGCCATATCCAGTAGAGTCATCTGTTTCATTTTCATCTTAGGGGTCTTCAAGCCTTTCCTAGGAGACTTTGATTTCCCGGATGACTTCTGTCCATTCAGAACCCTTTTGCCTCTTTGCTTTTTGTCCAAGGATTTGTTGCCGCCTTTCCCCAGTCGGCTCCTCTTTGGAATGTGAAAGTTCGAAGCAAGTTTAGCAGGTGACACAATTTTCATCACCTCTTCCAGCTCCTCTTTAGGACACTTGGAATTCTTAGAGTTTTTCACCTTCAGTGGAGAGCCAATAATAGATTTCTCCAAATGCACATGGCACCACAGGGTGGGGCTCAGCGGCTGACCCAGGGATGATCCATCAGCTTTGGATTTCTTCGAGGGCTTTCTGTCAGGGGATTGAGAGTTCTTCCTTTTGGTTGAAGGGTTGAGAGTCATATACTGAAAGTTCAAGAAAGAATGATTTGATATTAATAAAGGTAAATAAAAGTTATCTAGAGCCTTCTTCTGTCAGTTATTTTTGCTTATTTCTATTTTTAGCATATTTTTCCAAGGAGCAAGGAGTACTCAATAGATTAAGGCTAACAGGCTTCTGCAATAGCTTCCAACATACTGCACTATAGCCTGACGTTGGTTATGGGGTCATCAACTCATGCCAGAAAGTTCACATTTAACTTCATAAAATGAAACGCTACAAAGAATTTTAAATGTTTCCCACTACATTACATAAACCCACTTGGTTTCTACTTAAAAGATTGTGGAGAGAGGTTTTGCCTGGAAAATGCTGACAGGAATTTCAAAAACTACTCCTCTGCTCAGAGATCTCCTAGTAAGTCATAGAGGGGTCAGCCCTGGACCCCACCCAGCTCACCACCCAGGGGAAAACCAGGGAGGACAGAAGTGGCAGGAGAGAGGAATTCGGAGACTGTTCTCTGAACTGCCTGAAAGCAGCAGATGTGAAGGTAAGACAGGCCTCAGTTCTGAAATAACATGGCTGGATATCTGACTGGTGGGAAGCTGCCGAAATAACCTACCTGACAGCATTCTCCCAGCACTGAGCAGTTTAACCCAGAGCCAGAGAGACACTGACTTCAGGACTATCTCACCATCTGAAATTCAGTTTCAGGATGCACCCAGAGTATTAATTACAAGAAGTAAATAACAAAAATACAAGGATATAACCTTTAGGTTACAGATAAAGTTACCGGAAAACAAGGGCTGGAAATGTGAGATTCCTTAGCAATAAAAATTGTGCAGCAGTAAGCACAGCACAAGGTACAAGCACCTAAGAAGCATTTATTTAACAACAGACATACACAAATTGATCAAGTTAACACTGCCAGAGGAATACTCAGATTTTCTGGCTTGGGGATATTCACTCTTTAAGCCTTCAGAAGCCTTCACTAGCCCATTAGAGAAATTTTTACCGACGATTGCATAATCATCAAATCCAGTGTCAGCATGACTCCATTCCACAAAAATTCTGTGCTGAAACCTTTGCTGAAGAGAACTACATAAGCCAAAAGCACCCAGGCACTGATATGAACCATAATTACAAATTAACAGGTACCAGATCCACAACTGATGCTGTACAGTCAACCGTCACTTACAGAGTTATTCTGCCAGAACAGGAATTCTGGATCGATAAAGTTCTCCAGCTGTTTAAAAACTCAACAGGAATTCAATCTCTATGCCAAGTGGGAAACACGCTACGGAAAGCTCCAGCCCCCAGCACAAACCTCAGGGCTCCCATCAGTCAAACCAAAGATGTTACAGTCACATATTTTTCCTCAGACGAAAGGCACACCTCAATCCATCAGTGCACTCAATAAACAAATCTGCACGTCACCAGCAAATGCCTCCGTTTCGATTGAGGCAGTGACCCCAAATATCACAGCAAGGGCAAGCACAGCTCAAATATGAAGAACATATTTTCCCCTTGAAGCAAGTTTCCAAGCACCCAGCAGAGCACACTGAGGCTTGGTAGAGAACAGCGCTCTCCTCCTGGTGAGGAAAGAGGGATACAGCAAACGTTCCTCTTCTAGTTTTACAACGTTTGACAAAGGCAGCGTCCTTGAAAAAAGTGTGTTCGCTAAACAAACAAAACTGTGCTTTCTACACCCAAAAGGTGGATTTCAAAACAGTAGATTTCATAACATGGCATTTACCCAGTTTAAGAGTACATTTGGCAGGTCATTACAAAGGGCTGGAAAAAAACCATCCCTGGTACCTATTCAGTACAAAATCTGTGGTGTCTGCCATCACTCAGTCCAGCACCATACAAGAACCATCTTCAAGGCAAACATATCCAGCTCTTGCACCGTATCCATGAAAATGGTCCGATAACTGCATTATCGGGTAAGGACTATAGCTCTTCCATTTGTCTTGCACCTGGAAATCATGTCTTTACTTGCAGACAAGTAATGCAGACTACTGGAAAAAATAAAAAACACCCACCCACAAATCAAGAAAAATCAGTTACACCTCAAATTTTCAAAGCAGATCACCGTTTCAGATGCTGACGCTGTGTCACGTCACAAAGGATCAATCTTCAGAAGACCAGGCCTTCCTGGTCAGCATGTCTCCAAGAGCCCCACTGGCAGGCTGAAAACTCTGCCAAGATTGTTTAAGGGTGGGAAAACAAAGCAGATACTCTTAGGAATTCTTACCTTATGTGGGTCAAGCAAGAAGTCACTAAATTTACTGGGGAGAGAGTATTTCTTCACTAGCTCATCCTCCACTACCCACGGGGCATTCTCACACGTGCCGGCCCGTAGCGCATTATGACGGATGAAGTACCGCAGGATCTCCTTGTTGGGAGGGCGCTCTGTACGGACCAAGCTATCTGCTGGTACGTTGCTGATGATCTGGGAGATGACAGACAGACAGACTGTTAACATTTAACTTCTAACCACCAAGACATATCATATGGCTGCAAGGAGCAAGGACCACTGTACTGCTTCATGTCCAGAAACTCTTTGCTCTTTCAAAGCTCACTTGCAATGACTCGAAACAAACCAAACAACTTGCAGAGATTGGGAAGACATTCAGTTAGTCAAGAGAGTCAAAAAACATTAGTCTCTGTTGCTGATTTCTTGCCAAAGCCCACTGCTTTATCTCTGACCTTCTTCCGGCTCGTGCTTGCTACTAACCGAGAAGTTTTTACATGCTAGTCTTTTATCTGGTTGTCATTTTTTCTTCCTGAAACCAGGAGAGTAACTCTGAAAGCAGTACTCATTACACTGAGGTCAGCGCTGTCTCTCTTGTCGAATTAGCAAACGACAAAAAGCACACAGCAGTGCTGCAGCTACAGAGCTTCCTGAGGCGCAGCCACCGACGACCCTCTGAGAAGCTCAGTAAGAACAGGAGCAGCAACTAGTCTACCTCTGACCAAGTCTCATTAACTGCCTGACCAGAGACCAGCCCGTTAGCAGCAACCACTCTAAAGCTACTGCAGCACCGTGACTCAGTGCCTACCAGGGAACTGTCAGGTGTCTCCACACACAAATCCCAGTTGTACATGGAAAAAGCCAGGCTAGCCAGCCCCACAGACAACTACAGCCACACTGCTGCCCCTGAAAATACTTCACTGTGCTGTACAGACATACTGAGAGTGATTGTTTAAACTTGCATATTCATGTTCTCATAGAAAGGATTCAAGCAGACAACTCACCTTATCTTCATTTTTCAGCTTGACATCATATTTATGTGGCAGGAATTTAGGTGGAACCCACTTCCTTTCTTCCTTCTTCAAAGAAGTGGGAAGCTTCCGAGGAGACCTACGTGCTCGATCGTCTGATAAAGCAAGAGAAGACATCAAGTGTCTCAGTGTTAGAGCCCAAAAAGGTTAGAAAATCCAGAGCATCGCTGGACTGGTCACCCCACCTCCTGCCACCCAGACAGTGCTCGGTTAAACTGGAACATCAGGAAAAAAAAAATCCCAGATGGAGTTTTAGAAAGGAGTATGAGACAGTTTAGCTGGAGATTTTAACCACCCTTTGCAACCAGTCTTTTAATCCTCGAGAGGTGTAACTGAAAGAGGACAAAGGCATCACGTCATCTTGCCAGCTGATGTTGAGTTTATTACATTCAGGCTGCAGATGTTAATCGACTAAGACAAAAATCCAGGTTAACTGAAGAAAGCAACCCCAAATGTTTTTCTGTTTGTGGCTACGATTCAAAAGAAAACACGAAACCAAGTGTGACAGAGCGGAATAACTCTCTGCTACGCGTACGTGGAACACGAGCAGATGCTGGACCCAAGTCAGGCTATAAATACATACATACACACACTTTTCCATACATATCATCGCCACACTGCGAGCCCTGCAGCACTTACGCTGCAGCAGTATTACAGCTTACATGGTATATAACCAGGTTCTGCACCCCCTCTTCCAAAACCTGTCGTCTTGCTTAGGGAACAGCCCACAGACGAGGAGGGTTCACTGCACCATGCACGCAAACACAGCCACTTTCCACATCAGCGCTGTAGTTCCAATAATCCAACGCAGAATCCTACTGCTCGAGGCAGTTGTTCTTGACAATAAAACCCCCTGAACTTCGTAACAGTGACAATACGTGTGAAAGTCGGACCGAGACATAACTTTTGCCTGCTTTAGTTCCGCATTTGCATTAAGAGATGTTAAGTTCACAAATACTGAACTGCTTTTCTGCTCAACAGCACGGTGGAAGTCGCCCACACGACACCTCAGGCTCTGGAAAAGATCTGCTTTCAGAATCTGCAGCGGAATTCAATTTCAGAATCTGCAGTGGAACCTCACCTTTGCTGGGCGCGCGTATGACGCGGGGCAAGTTCTCACTTAAGAAAGAACAATGTGTTGTTTAGCCCTGGGTCTGACTTTGAAGGACTCAGTTACACCGCTGCCCCTGCATCAGACCTGTAAGCAACCTCTCCTTTCTTCATTTCCATTCTAGATTCTCAAAACAGAGATGACTAACTGAATTCCATCAAACAGCACCTGCATACTCCGGGCTGGGGAAGAAGAAATCACTACACATTCCATCATTGACTCACAAAAAGCATACTTCATGTGCTGTTGCACTGTGCTCTGATAAAACTTATACTCACTACACAACCAGAAACCCATAAAACATCCACATGCTGTCGTCTCTTCCTCTTCACCACTTATTGTGGATTTTCCAAAGCAGTATTAGTTCCAAGAACAGCTCAAGCTGCAGAACCCGCCTGTAGTTCACCATCCATGCTCAGGAAAAGCTAGCCTTTCCTCCCACTTCTGCAGATTTTCCCAAGTTCACCCCCAAAGCAACAAGGTCACTTCAGACTGCACAGGATGCAATAAAGGTGGTAGAAAGCCTCATTTTTAGCTTCGGAAGCACAGTATACTCCTAACCAGAGAGACTGGAGTTCTCTTTCTCTGCCCCTTTTCTCTTCCAGTGAAAGCAGCAAGTTTGGTATGTGTCAGTAAAATTGCTAAGGTTCACTCTGCCCCCTCGTGTGTGCACAGAAAGATACAGCTCTTGGGTCACACACAGACTGTGACTACTTCTAAACGCTCACAGTGACCTCGACCCGTATGACCAGTGGTTAAACGTCCTGCTTATTGGAAAGACAAAGTCCAAGTGTGGCTGGGTACCTCCAGATCCCACTCAGTCTCCTGCAGGTGCAGTTCAGGGCCTGAACCCACTAAAAAAAAGCAAGTCTTGACTACTCCCATGGCACACTGTGTAAATTTAACAAATGCTACGTAGATACTTTAATGGACTCTGGAATTGAGTCAGCAATGAGTTTACTAAGAACCTATGTCCTATTATCAGAGGGCTGGAGCACCTCTCCTGTGAAGAAAGGCTGAGAGAATTTGGCTTGTTCAGCCTGGAGAAGGCTCCGGGGAGACCTTATAGCACCTTCCAGTACCTGAAGGGGGCTACAAGGAAGCTGGGGGGGGACTTTTTACAAGGGCCTGTAGTGACAGGACAAGGGGTAACGGGTTTAAATTGAGAGTGGGGAGGTTTAGATTAGATATCAGGAAGAAATTCTTCCCGGAGAGAGTGGTGAAGCACTGGGACAGGTTGCCCAGAGAAGCTGTCGATGCCCCATCCCTGGAAGTGTCCAAGGCCAGGCTGGATGAGGCTTGGAGCAACCTGGTCTATGGAAGGTGTCCCTGCCCATGGCAGGGGGGTGGAACTAGATGGGCTTTAAGGTCCTTTCCAACTCAAACCATTCTCTCATTCATTCTATTATAACCCAGAATATAAACACATAAGCAATAAAATACCCTCTTAATAAACGCATATGGACACAGAGGGGAGTTAAGAGGATGAGTGCTTACTGCTTGTACTGACTGCGGCATGAGACTGAGAACGGTGAGGTTCATCTTTTACAGAAAGGCCAGGACAGTCCCAGCTTACAGAGGCGACTAAACACAGGCCAGACAATCACCCGAGTCAGAGACTGGGAAAGGAGCAGGAATTCCCAGTATGCTCCTCCAAACTCCAAGCCCTGACTGGCAATGTCAGTAAGAGCACAGCTGGACACAGCTGGTTGGAATGCCACACACCAATGAGCAAAATATTGTGGTAGACTTTACTAAACACCCAACCCAACAATGCTGCTGTAAACTGGGTCAATGGGCGTTTTTAAAGTAAAAGGACTTCCCATGCCTTTTATGAGGTAGCTTGAGAGACCTACCGCTCCATAAGAAGTTTCAAGACCAGCATGCCTCAGTCCCTCCTCAAGCACTACAACAGTTCCAAAGGATGAGTATAAGGCCAGACCGTTTCTGCAACACTTTTTTCCTCCCTGGTTACACAGAGCGCTGCAATGAAATCAAAACAGCTCCTAACTTTTTCCAGGACCAACCAGAAACAGCTGACAATTACTAAGCTTGGAACTAGAGCTTGCTACAGCTCATTTTCCACTCCTGACTGTGCTATTAGCTTCCTGGGCTGTTTTCTGGGCTTCATCTCCTCCATATGCCCGCAGCAGGGGGATTGGAACTTGATGGTCTTTAAGGTCCCTTCCAACCCAAACCATTCCATGATTCTATCACCTCCTCAGATGCTGGAGTGGCTTTTCATAAATGTAAACAGTTCATTCTATTTATGTGCCTTTAAAATTAAGCTATCCAGATTAGAGCTACGCGGTGGCGTCGGGGTTTTTTTATCTGTGTGAAAACACTTTGAAATCTCTTTGAAAGAATCTTATCATTCCCTTTTTAAGGAGTTACATAGGATGTTTGCTCTTTCAACAGTACCTTCTGAGAGTCAAGAAAAGCCTTGAACACCCGCTGCTTAGTTCTGTGGCAAGGAGGAACAGACAGGGAAGGGGGGGACAATGTTTCAAAGCATGCGTTATTTTGAACCCTTAGGAAAAAAAAAAATATGCATTTTTCTGCATGAATTCTGTCTCAGCATTTGAGAACTGAAAAGGGGGATAAACCAAACTAAAAAAAGAGCCAACTGGTTTTTTTTATGCCACGTGGGGACATGAAAGAAAATTAGAGCTTGTCTCTGACTGCAGAACAACAGCATTGAGGACTCAAGATGTTTGTTCTAGGATGAACATCACGGCAGAACTTTATAAGAACCCTTGCTGCTCACCCTCCTCCCCCCTTTTCATTCTGAAATACACTTGTTACACTTTCCAGGCTTACACGTTGCACGCACAGCTTTTGGCGTTACACCTCAGAACACAGCACATTCTCCGTGTTAAAGCAGGCAAAACCAGCTGAAAGGCAACAGCCCTGATGTGCCCAAAGCCGCACCACCACCACCGACTTCATTACATCACCCTGTTAAAGATCACACACACAACAGTCACAGCCCAGGCCCAAGATACACATGAAGTCAAAGGCTCACTTCCAGGTGCCACCTACTGGCATGCTGCCCTGCTACTTACTGATACTGTCCCTCCTGTTGTCCTCCTCTTTCAGGACAGCTTCTTTCTGGTTGTCCTGGGCTGCCTGGCTGGAGTTCTCCTTGTCACTGGATGGGGAATCACAGGCTCCATCAGATTTCTTTTCCGAGGCCTCTTCATCAACTTTCTCCAGAGGGTGTATTTTCACAACTTTCACAGGCAACATTTTCTCTTTACCAACCTGCACAGAAACGTTGATGAAAACTGAGCCTGAGCAAAACACATGGAGTAACAAGCAAAACACTTTACTGACATCCTCCTTGAGAGGAACCCATGACCCCTCTCATGAAACGACAACAGGATTTCTTTCTAGTGCTCCCACCTGGAAGTTCTGTACAAATTGCCCAGAGGGAACTGCCAACTCACAAGTTTTTCCAGTTTTAGTAACGCTGCTTTCTCAGCCTAAG